CGTATAGTTTCAAGGGTTATATGATATGAAATTAGCTCTAATGCTTTTGTATAGTTTCATTCAGCCTCTGTAAGGTTAGGGTTTGAGTGTACGTTGTATATTGATATGAAAATTAAAAGTTCGTCTCTTAAATCAAATTATTTCATCGGAGTGGCTTTGAAGACACTTGCACCAATACTCGGAGTGTGAGTCGGAGATGTCGGGTTTAAATCTTCATATCTACAAGAAAACGATAATAAATTCGGGTTAGTCTTGTTAGGAAGCACTTATAATGCAATAAACATCAATGGGACTCGCGCAATAAACGACGAAGGTGATGCTGTTGAGGTTGCCTTCATGCAACATCATCCAGGCCATTTGATCTGGATATTATTTGCACCATACAAGAGACAAGATGAAATTAATTTTTATTCCTTATCCGGTCTAATACAATGCACCTAATACGGTTCAAGCACACCAAAGATGTTTTAGCTGAGTGAGCTATATGGACCTTCCTCCAGTAACAAGCACAAAACTGAAATAAGGAAAGTAAACTCGTTCATTTTCCTCTCCTTCTGTACAGACCCACTAGCAAAAGACAACATTGTTAACACTAAAGTTATAACATCATAGTATGCACCATACAAAAACTTTCATGTAGCAATAACACAGTAGAGATAATGAGATGTAAAGCTACATCGATCCCCCGACTCAAAAACATTTTTAATGCCAATACTGATAATTGTTCCCTGGTAGTTGCATGAAAGTACATGTGGCCTCACATGCTGATTGCACTATGATCTAGAGACAACCACGTGCCATTGAAACTAGGGTTTGGAGAATCGACACTAGGAGGAAGGCTTTACTAGCTAGCCTCCTTATCCGCTGATTGTGCTGCTGATATAGATTTTGTTCTTACTGATGTCCAGCCTACTGAACCTCGTTATCATCAAATCATGCTACCTCCACGAGGATGTGAAATGACGGTCTATGCAGTAGTTTCAGTGGAGTACTGTCAATTCTTTGGGCTATGATCAAACAATTGTGTAACTATAATATAAAATACGTGTAGTTTCAAGGGTTATATGATATGAAAGTAGCTCTAATGCTTTTGCAAAGTTTCATTCAGCCTCTGTAAGATTTGGGTTTGAGTGCACGTTGTATATGGATATGAAAATTCAAAGTTCGTCTCTTAAATCAAATTATTTCATCAGAGTGGCTTTGAAGACACTTGCACCAATACTCGGAGTGTGAGTCGGAGATGTCGGGTTTAAAAATCTAATTTTAATTCCCACCAAACACCCGCTGTATAATATGATGGATCTTTGAGTTGTTATAAATACTCTAAAATTAGTATGATGAGATACTTCGATCACTCGGTCAATATTTGTGAGTAGTTTGGGGTGGTTGAATTAATAGAAGTGATTAGTTGAATTCGTATTGATACCGCGTGAATTGTATGCAATGAGTAATTTTTATTAATAGGGAAAACTAGATTTGATCATATGTTAGGGGTATGATTTCAACTACTCGTCCCAGTATATGATATTACAATATTTGAGACAAAAAGGAGAAAAACGAGTGCACAAGCTGATGAACGACTTCCTCCCCATAGAGGTACGTTATGAACCATTAATCCAAACGCTCGTGAAAATGTCACTAGCAAAACTTTAAACTTAACAAAGCTTCGACTCCCCATCTATTAGTCTGTCTTGCAAAGAGATCAAAGAAGTTTGTTTTCCCGAGAGTCCTCCAATAAGTCATGTTGCGCGAATTTCGAATTGCTTCTATGTATCTGGCCAAACAGGGACTAAGTATTGATAATTATAATAAAATTAATCGTATCAAAAGCGTGATTCATTAAGTATATATAGAGAGAGAAAATCTCGATTGAAATTATTTCCAAACCTGCTATGTTCAAAATTCCCTCCAAATCATGGATGATGAGAATCATGAGATTCCTATTCCTATTCCTTTTCTAATTGTTGGTGCAATTTGTGCTATCATAGTGAGGTTAAGTTTACCAAAGCCACCTAATCCTCTACCGCCACGGCAGCCGACCTTCCGTAAATTCTGAAAATGCATTACAAAAAAATCCGTTTCTTTTACTTTTCGTTTTGTTTTCATTTTCTCTGTATTGCATCGGATTTCCATTCCGATATATACATTAAGACGGTAGAATTCACGGCGGCTTCCGATATTGATTTTCAACTCCTTTACAATATGGCGGCTGAGTTCACGACGGTAGAAATATTGATTTATTTTAAACTCATCTGTGACACTCCACAGCGGAGGTTTATTTTTCAATTCTTTTTTTAAAAAATGAATTTTAAATACGGTAAGGTTTCTTAGATCTAATTTCTAATTAGTTCCTTTTATAATTATCGGACGGAATAGTCGGGTTAAATTTTGTGTGATGATTCAATTTGCTACACTCTTTCATTTTTATGATGTTTGAAATTGCTGTTTTATTAAGATGGATTGAGTTCATACGATCTAGAATCATAATTGACGAGCCAAAACTGTATGAACTGTTTAGGCTCATTTATATGGTGTATTTAATCTGGAACTTGATTTAATTTGTCTTTGGCATAGTTTATTGACTTAGGACAGTTCTGCAGGAAATTTTAATGGTCATTCTAGACTATGAGGCAGATTTTCGAGTTTTTTCTTGTTCCCACGTCCTCTGTCTTTTTCTATTAGTTTATTTCCCTTTTTTCCCTTGTGGATTCATTGGGGATGCATTTTGATCTTTCCTTTTACCTACAGGAGTAGATCACTACGACCACGACCACAAATGATATTGAAAGCTTAACAATAAACTGTATCTTACAATCATCTGCAACTCCCACACTAGAAAGCATGAAAGAAGTTGAAAAATATGAAATAAACTTCAAAGATGTTAGTGTCATTAAGATGACAGGGCAAAGTGTTTATGGCGTTACTGAAGGTTCATTTGATGCTGAGTATCTTATAACTGTAATGATTGGCAGCAATGGCTCTTTACTCCGGGGCATAGTCTTCCGATAGGGGAATATCACTCCTATCATGGCTTCAAATGATGTTGTTCCATAGGCTAAGATATATCTCACAATTTCAGAAATGGAGTATCAAAATCAGGTTAATGCCATTGAAATCATCCCACGAACAAAAACAGTAGTCATGCCTAATCACAAGGACGTGAAAAGACAGTTTATAGA